CAGAGAAGGGCATGATTTGAAGTCTTAGGAAAGCAGAATAACTATTTTTACATGAAGATGGTYGAAGAATTTTCCTTAAAGCTTTTATGGTTAGAAAGGCTGCTTATTGCCAGTGTTTTCAGTGGAAAACCACCTTTCATCCTCCAGTGGAATAAGGTTCACAAAAAAATTTCCGCTCTCATTTTGGACTGGCTAACTAGAATGCTTTACTCAAAAGAGGGTAATTGCTTAGTGTTAGGCCTTCATTTCTTACAAGGACTTGCAAACAGACTCAGCCAACACACAARTAGTCTCTAGACTTAGAAACAAAACCCCATRGAGATGTTTTTCTTAAAACTTGTAYTCTCCCCAGGAACCAAAAGCAATCTTTCATACCACTGGAATCAGACTGACCATATTTTCTTGTTAAACATCTGCTTTAAYTGTCTTGCTTGTGTAACTTAACACAAAGTTTCACCCTTACCATTTCCATGCTGCTTGGGAYATGTGTTAAAATTAAATGCAACCAAAGAGGTGGTAGTGCTGCAGAAAGGACATGTAAAATACGCTTAAACATTGTAAATGCGAAGAGTATATCTGTCATATAGTCACAGCTCCCTTGAGAAAGAAAAAAAAACCCCGTCAAATGAGTCCCCCAGACATAAGGGAGTACTGTGCATTGCCAGTGCCACTGTAGAAGAAATTGATGCCCTTTCACCTGGCATGATGTGCCTCAGCTGGTGTGTGTTCAGTGTCAAATCCATTATGGTATCAACCTCAAGGAAGCCCAGTGGCTCCCAGGAATATGGGTTAATCCCAGACAGGATCAGGGGCAAACCCATCTCTACCCTACAAATCCATTCTCCCTCCTCTTTCTGTCCTGTCTTCCAGTGTTCCTCCTAAAAGGTAACRATTCAGTCTCTGAGCTACTCTTTTCTAATGGCACTGGCTGTAAAATGTCACCCTCTTTTTTTAAAGTTCACTGTCTACCAMGAATTGAAGAATAGTGGTTTCTAAATGAATTTGAATATGCCCTGTAAAATGTAAGCTCAGAACACAGACCCAGTATTATATCCTGGTAAGGATGGTACCCAGCAGTCACTGGGGTCTCTTTTTATCTTCAGATACACAATGCTGTGCTCTCTATTTTATGTACAAAGGAAATTAAATGTACTTTTTTCTTTAAAAGATGAGATCTTCATCTATCTCATGCTGTCAGTTCCTAATAATGTTGCCTAGAGAAGTGTTATCTGTGATTTAGTGACTTTAGTGGACTATCTTTTGTTCAACAGAGGACAGCAGAATAAAACTTCAGCTTAATATAGCTCTTTTCTTACTCCTTCTGAATAAACAGAGAAAAAGAGGAGAGCAAGAGCAAAGAATCTTGGGTTCCAGACTCAGTTTTCTTTGGCTTTGCAATAGATAGGGCATTTTAAGAAAGGAAAGGAAGGAAAGTAGAAAAAAAAAGGAAATAAAAGAAATATGGAAAGAAAAAATGCTTAGGGATARAAATAGTAATAGAAAACAGTATTTTTTTCCGACTGGTCCCTCTGGATAGAGTAGAAAGAAAAATTATTTCTGTCTCAGGAAAAATTTCTGAGCTCAAAAAAAAACCTCAGGTCCAAATGAAAAGTCAGGTATAATATTTTGCAAGTTAATGGCTTTAGAAATACTTTTATTTGGGTGAAGTACAATGTTTTATTTTGTTTTTCATGTTTTGCCTTTCTTGATTTTTCTTCCTCAGGTACCTTAACTCTGGAAATGAAAAACTACCACTGAGTTTAAAAGTGTAGTTTTGACTTAAAAGATTGACAGCCTGAAATGCTTCAACAGTTTTCAAAACTTTCCACAGAAAGTATTCTCAGTAAGAGTAAATCTATCAAAAATAGGTCTTTTTCAATGAACAGATTGCAAAATGTCCATCAAGCAGATGAAAAAAGAAATTGTAAAAGATCTTTTTTCGGTGTTCACCAGGCAGTTCCTATGTTAGTTGCCGAGTGCTGATTTACTGATGGAGATGTGGCTGCACAGCGCTGTGTCTGGGCGTGCCAGCCTTCTCCCCACCAGATGTGCACACCTGCATTTGGAAAGTGGCATTCTTGCAATTTAACAGAGGGCTTCACTACTCAGTAACTTGTAAGAAAAGACCTACCCAATATTGCATTCAATATTCTGCTTTGCCAGGCAATGACAGAGTAAGTTTTGCATGAACTGATGAAGTTTCTTCAAAAACTAATTCCTTTTCCTGCCTGCTTTTGCAGATTCTACAAACTAAATCTATTTCTTTAGATCCTGTTTAATAATGTCACTTTCCTGTTTAATAATGCCACTCTTTATTAGGTGATCAAACAGTGTGCTTATATGTCATGATACATTAAGAAGAAACCCAACATTTTTCCCTAAAAAAAAGGCTTCACCCCTACTTAAGTACTTGGTTCAGGGTTTCCATAATTTTAACTGTCTAGCAACAAATTGGCAATCAAAGRTGAAAATAATTCAGTCCTACTTAAGTTCATATATATTTGAAATGTCTATGGTCCATACAATTCAGGAATCATCTCACCATTATTTGGTTATCCACCCCACTGCTGCAGATGCTCTTTTGCCTTGCAAACATCCTGACTCAGATGTGATTAAAGATGTGATTAAAGATAAACACATATTTTTGTACAAAAATCTGAGGCTGCACATTTCCTATAACAGGCTGAGTGCTCTCCGTGAAGTACAAACATCCTAATCAGCTATGCTGGAATAATAGACAGCAAAAATGGTATGTTTTGGTTTTGTCATCCTTTAAACCAAGATGAACTTGTATACAGTCTGATCAAATTTTTCAAAGTTCACCCTGGCCCTGTTATGTGGTGTTTTGGGAAGATATAAAAGAGGGTTATGACAGACAGTCTTTTGTGACTTGGCTTAGAGAAGTCATTGCAGGGGARCAGCTGGGAATATTCACAGTATGTTTCAAATTATGTAACCCCCCCTATATTTTAAATAATCAAAAATTGAAATATCTTAAATACTTCTTTGAATGGTCAAATTTTAGTGTATCTTTCAGGACCTGCATAGAACATGTCCATTTTTGTTACTGAAGTTTTTGACTGTAAGAAAAAGCTGGATATGGAAACTTGTGCTTTGTATGGATAGACCCAGTTGACTGGGCAGTGATTTGGAATATGAATAGGAGAAGGAGACCTTTATCTCCTATCTTTCAGCTATTCAAGAAGATTTCTTACCCCTGTAATGAATTATTCACAACAGAAATTAAAAATTGAGCAGTCTTTGTCCCTTGAAGCTACACAGGGTTGTGCAGTGTTACCTGACAGGTCCATTTTTCTCACACATACCGTTCCTGATCTTAAAAGTTCTGTCGCTGGTGTGCACTATCCACAGTAACTGCCACCTRTTCCATACAGTCTTTATGCATTTCCCTTTCTATGTGTTCAGGTAGTGCCAAGAAACTAGGAGGAGAACAGGTGTTAGTTCTGTGCTCTCTGCCTGGAGATGCTGTGATCTAGGAACTGCTGCAGCAGTCKATGAAGGTATCTCTGTGCCTTGTTCTTTTGTCCTTGAAGAAGTTTCTTTTGCCCTCGGAGAATTCATCATTCTGCTTTCTTTGCATGAGGAATGTAGCAGATCTGAAATGTGGAGAATACATGGTACCTTAAAGTTTCTTAYGTGTTGTCATATTGCCTGCCCAGGTTACACAGGAGAGATTTCATTTTCCCACTGACGTGTGGTAGCTCCATATAAGTCAAGTGTCTGTGCAAACATTTGCATCAAGTCACATGCAGTGATCATCTCATTTGAAGGTAGATGTCCGACAAGGTGGGTGTTGAATCTTGCTCCCCTGCCTCTCCCCCTCCCCTGATCTCGGAAAGCACTTGACTGACGAGTTTTGATCTGTCTTCCTTTATAAGTGTTGTTCTGGGTGAGCTGGATCCCAAGCACTCTCCTTGTTTGGCTTTCAGGGATGTTAAGACCAAACTTTGGGATGAATGCTTGCAAAAACAGCGAGAGCCTGTGTTCCCCTGCAAGTGCCATTGGCCTCTGTCCCTTGACCCTCTGGTAACAGGGTTATCAGCTCTGAATGAGTTTGAAAATTTGGGCCACTCTGATGTCGCTGTTTAAAAAAAAAAAAAAAAAAAAAAAAGATTTCTTTTTTCTTTTGAAAAGTTTATGAGTTTCTTAACAGCTTAAATAAAGATTCTCTCACTAAATTCTTATTACAAAGATCAACAAATATCTTAGTGTGTCACCCTGGTGTTTAGATAGAAGTTGCAATCCCAGCATTGCCTGGTATAGAGGCAATGTATGTAAGATACCTTTCTGAAAAAAAATCTGGAAAATCATGGCATGGACAAGGGGAAGTCATATTATAGACAGGACTGAATGCAGTCCTGTCTGCTGGATGAAATAAGGTAAGGAAATATACCTTTTCTACTTCAAAAGCAAAGTTTTTCTTAGACCATTCTTCACCCAAAGCTCATGTTGTACGGGCRATAAGGTCAGAGGATCCAGAGTCTACTCTAAGTCATCAGGGAGCAATAAAAAGATACTTTCTGCCATTAAAGATAACCTTGTGTACGCAAGGGCACAAACAGWGTGTCAGCAAACTGGCCCTGTGGGACTACTTTATTGATGCTGCTTCAGGTTTCTTGTAACATGCAAAACAGCATTATTATTACAGTAGATAACTGCAACAGACCTTTCAGGATTATGTATTAAGAACAGCAAGTCAAATACCATCTGTCTAACATGATAAATTCTAAGTGTTATTCCAGGGAGGTTTGCCTGCATCTCCTCTGCAGAGGACATAGAGGCAGCTGGAAGTCACTTTTATCCTCAGTCCCCTCCCCATCATCACTTCTTGACCTTTTGGCTAAGATCAAATGTAGTATCAGTTGGAGTCTTGGCTTGTGCTCTCTTTAGGGACTCCATCCTGGCCTGGCAGCAGGCTGGGCTCAGTGACCTCCCATCCGTAACTGCTATC